GATGGGACTGTAAAACCACACATTAAAGAATTGAGTGCTGGCGTCACTGAAGGCAAAGATAATTTACAACAAAATTGGATTTGGGATCTTACTGATGAAATTTTGATCAATGAAGTTATGGTCACTGAAACACACATTCTTGTCTAGCTAGCAGTAGTTTAAGTGAACCAGCGGCTGCTGAAACTGCAAAATTTCAGTAAAAAGGGATTTACTGTACTCTTATGCATCAAGGAATCACATCAGAGCAGCAATCTAGTGAAAACTGAAGCCAACTGCAGAGAATCAATGAAGGCAGTGAAGCTGGATGCATGAGCTATTATTCCTGATATATGATTTGATAGAACAAGACAAGACTCATAGGCTTCATTTCATCACAACCGACCACCATTCTCTTCCACTACACTTTCGGCCATGGTTATAAAAAGCAGCACCAAAAAGCACACACCTGACCAATAATCACACTGCTTCATACATGAGAAATTTTCATTGTACAAGAACAAAACAAGTGACCAGTGAAATGGCATCTCAGTATGCATTATTGCTTTTCTTTTAGTGTTCAGTACACATATAAATAGTAGAAGAAAAGTGCCTAATTGTATCAAGGTAATCAACTGGAACCTGCTGCACTTACATGCTATCCTCCACCACTGTTCCAATGCTTGCAATAAGATTTGTGACCATTGACATTGCAAAATGCTCAGATTATTTTTTATTACAACAACAACTTGCATTTACATAGCACCCCTCATGCAGGTTAGCATCCCAAAGCACTTGATAGTGGCAGAGCACGATGCCAAGCCGGGGGGAGGTGGAGGTGACCGTAGGCACGGTTGAAGAGGAAGGTCTTCAGATGCAACCTGAAGATGAAGAAGGAAGGAGCAAGGCAATGTTAATTTCAGATGAAGTTGGCCACTGATGATGGAGCAGAAGGCACGAGTGGCACGCAGAAGGCCAGAGCCCGTTGAGCGGAGGCATTGAGTTGGAGAGGTAGGGAGGTGCCAGGGCATGAAGGGATTTGAACACGAGTGTGAGGATCTTCAAATCGATCCATTCAGCAATAGGGAGCCAGTGAAGCCTGGCCAGAACTAGTGTGATGTGGGTACGGAGTTTAATGCGTATAAGTTTAATGCGTGGGTGGTGAGTTTTGGATCAGCTGGATCCTGTGCATAGTGGAGCTGGGGAGACCGACGAAGAGGGCATTTGAAAAGTCGAGTTAGGAAGTGATGGACAAGTGTTTCGGCTGTGTCTGGGGTAAGGTACGGTTGGAGGCAGGCAATGTAGTGGAGGTGGAGAAAGGTGGTCCTGGTCAGGGACCGGTTGTGGGAAAGGAAGGATAGCTGTGAGTCATTAGATTGTGCACTGGTTTGGTGAGCCTGAGGGATAGGCCAGGGAAGTTGAGGAAGTCAGAGCCGCAGGATAGAAGATGTTGACGGGAGCCGAGAAGTATGGCTTCCTTCTTGTCAACATTTAGTTGTAAGAAATTTTCGCTTATCCAGGCCATGATGTCCACCAGATAAGCCGAGAGAACATGGACAGTCCTGGAGTCACAACTGGCCTTTGAACAGAAATTTATATTTTGCCACTTGTGGCTTAAAGTGGGGCAAAATAATCTAAGGGGAGCATTCATAGTCTGTTTGGGATCAGTTTTTCTTCCCGTTCCACAACAAAGCAATAATCCCTCCAAAACCCAAAACAATAATAAATTGGTCATTTTCAATCTACGGCTGTTTGTGGGACATTGCTGTGCGCAATTGGCTGCCGCGTTCGCCCACAAATATACAGTCAATTCACTTTACAGTGTGTTCTGTGAAGCGCTTTGGGACGTCCTCCCGACGTGAAAAGCGTTATATCAAATGCAAGGATTATTATTATTATTAAAGCTGCAATGCCAGACCGAGAGATCTGCAGGGAACAGGATAATAATAATACAGATGCTCCTATTATTTTGGACTCTCATAACTGGAAACTATCCCCCTCAAATCATTCCTAATCTAAAAAGTATTCATATTCCCATCTGTCCTGCTTAAGACTTGACTGAATCTATTTCCTTAATCCCCTCTGCCAGAGTGAACCTATCAAGCGTCTAATTATAAATGAGAAGAATATGTGAACGGGTTACACATCAATATCCATGCACACAAGTGGGCAAGTTTGGTAGGGGAACTTTAGAACATAACCCATCAAGTCAATGTGAGGAAATATGGTTGAGTCAAGAAAAGCAGTCAAAGCAATGATATCTAATTATGTGTTGACATATTATATCATTGGCTGTCTTCATTTGACAGAGTGACAGTCATATGTGGTCTGACGTTAGTAATACCAGTCCAATGTTTGGATCGATATGTGTACACTATAGAAATTAGACTGGGCGGCTCTTGGGCTGAGTGATATTGACCAAAGAGCTCTTGATATTGTGATTAGATACTTTAGTTCAAGGCAAACAATGAGGCTTATGGGGTTGACACAAAATAGGCTGAAGATGTCTGACATGATTGATGACTTTAAAATGGGTTAATAAAGCGCCCCAAATGAGACTACAAATAGCATCTTTGGGATTGGATTAGAATTACTGAGCACAAATGCTGAGCTGTGGGTTTTTAAACCAGTATACAGTGCTCCTGATTTTGGTATAAGATCTTAAGCCTGTGCTTATAGTAAGTCTAATAGTTTCAGACTTTTAATAAGTAAATATTATGAGAAGCATTTACCTCACAGTATGGATTCAAGGGCTATGTGTGTCTCCTCCAGGTTTTTTAACCAGGGTATGTTTTTTTATTAATAGTGTAGTACACCATATCCATTTGAAACACTGTCAAGTGGTGTGGTTTCCTCAGGGCGATCCAGTTTCCTGCTTGTTCTGTTATTACTCAACAATGTCCAATTTCCTTTTTGTTGTATCCAATGTTTAAATGCTTTTAATATATTTGATGTATCTCTGATCTGCTGCCTTTTAAAAACATCTCCTCGACTATATAGCCTGTGCTGACTGACTAGTTGGGCCAAGGAGTTCGGATCAACTCATTTTATATCTTCACCAAATGGAAACCATCATTCACAACCAGCGACAAATGTCTAATCTGAATGTAGTGCAGCCCACCACAGCACAAAAAACGCATACAAGGTTCAAAGAGGGTGCAAAGAAGAACAATAAGACCAGTCCCTGGTGTAAAATGTTGAGCTGTGAAGAAAGACTGGAGAAGTTTAATCTCTGCTGCCGAAGAAGGAGGTGTTTTAGGAGTCCTTATTAGAGACTCTTAATATATATAGTGTAAATATAATTTACTATATTAAACTCTGTAGTTCAGGTAAACCTTGAAAGTTGGGGACTCAAAATTTCAGTCCTTGTTATAGTTATAGTTGTATGTTTAATCTGTATATTTAAGCACTCTGAGACCCTACCCTGCATGGAAGGCACTATATAAATGCAAGTTGTTGTTGTTCTCTAAAGCGCTTTGAGACGTCTCAACAATCTGATAAGGCACTATATCAAATGCAAGGATTATTATTATGACGACATGTAATGAGATCCTCTTTCCATCCCCTGCAAGACACTAACAAAATCCCTGAAACCAAATCCACAGCATTGGCCTTCCAGCTTGTAGATAATGCCAGATAATAGAATACTTTCTCTTTTACTGCTAATGACTGTCAGTCAAAGATTCGGATTTGTGAACGTCACCATTGATAATAGCTTTGTGCTGGGGGTGCAGGGGTAGAGGGGAAGGGAGTAGTTCACAACCATCAGTGTGATAAATATGACACAGACTTAAATTTTTACGTTTAATTAATGCTGGAAATTAGTGGAAGAGAAATGAATTTAAAATGGAACAGTTTTAAAATGGATATGTACAACTATTTTACTTAGTGATAAATCATTGAAGGAATCTCGCCACAACTGGGGCATTTATTTTTGATGCTCAGACTGTGCATTCCATACATTTCCCTATACCTGGAATGAGCACTCTCTCCCTGGAGGGATGCATCCTACTTACCTAATTGTGGTGAGTATTAGGCACAGGTGGCCAAGAACCCAGAGTGGGCATTGTGGTACTGTTAAGAGTTTGAGCCTAAAACCACATAGCTCCCATTGTGAGCACTGTCTGGCAAGCTTCCCGCTGCGTTTCTAGCTTGGACCATCCTACCCATCAGGGTTTGGTCTCGCAGAATTAATAGGAGCCAAGTGGAAAGAATCTCTTTGCTCATTGCTCTTCCAAATCCTGCCAATGAGCCAAGATGGATGGTCTGTCATAAACAGTGCCCTGGAGTTCTGTGGAGCAAGGAATATGGCTAACCAGACTACCGAGACCACCACAGAAGATTGACTCGATTCTGACATTCCATTGCCAACCACATGATCTTGGAACCAGCTCAGCCCCAATAAGACCCCAATTAACTTCTCTTCCCCATCCCTCAAAGAGGATATGTGGGGCAGAAAAGGCTTAACAACAGAGATATACAAAAGAACCAGAGTATTGGATTAAATAATATGGAATGATAGAGTATATGTGCTTCAATGGCTGAATAGCCTTTTATCTTCCTTGAAGTTTCTCATATTCAGTATTGTTTTATTTTAGTTACTTACTTTTGATTTATTATTCTATGCTTTAGACAAAGAGTCTGGCCACTGCCCAAAACTTTGCTTTGGAAATGAAAAAGAGTATTCTTTTCAGAAAGACAGAATAAAGCAGGCCATTTTGCTCCTGCAAGGGCTCTGCATGATTCCACATTGTGTACATCAAGTCCAAGTGTAGCAGAACTAAGAACAATGACCATTTCAGTATCATTAGCTGATGCCTTATTGTGCACTGTGCATAACAAAGAAATTAGATCTGTGCAGTGATCTGCGTCCATTTGAAAACACAGAGACCTACCTTACTTTATGCCAGAGGCTCCACTGTGAATTACCAGCATTGGTCGCCTGAGCCTTAAGGATAAACCTATCTTAGTTCCAGTTCCAAAGTGCCCCAATTAAGTAATTGCTGAATATCTTCTGTTTACAGTATGATCGCTACCAGCGCTATGGAGCAGAGGAATATGTGCTATGTATGAGAGGAGTGCTGTGTCCGAGCCCAGGCTGCGGAGCTGGTCTGCTTCCAGATGCAGGTGTGCGAAGGATAGAGTGCCTACAGCAAGATGGAGTTGGCTGCGGGGTAAGATGCAACACGAGGCCTGAAATTTCACTTAACATGTCAACAACAACAACAACTTGCACTTATATAGCGCCCTCCACGCAAGCTAGCATCTCAGAGCTCTTAACAGTGGTGGAGCCTGACTCTGAGCCTCGGGGAGGGGGGATGTGGCCGTAAGCATGGTTGAACAGGAAAGTTTTCAGGTGGGACTTGAAAAGGGGGAGAGAGGGGGAAGGCGGAGGGATTGAGGGAGAGTGTTCCAGAGTTTTTGGGGCATAGTGGCTGAAAGCACGATCTCCAATGTTGGGGCGAGGCTGCGAGGGACCAACAGGATGCCGGTGCCAGTCGAACATAGGCGACAGGTGGTGGATTGCGGAGTGAGGAGGTCGGAGAGTTTGGGAGGGGCCAGGGAGTGAATGGATTTGAACACGAATGTGAGGATCTTGAAGTTGATCCGTTTGGTGATGGGGAGCCAGTGGAGCCTGGCCAGAACTGGTGAGATGTGGGTACGGAGTTTGGACCGGGTCAGTATGCGGGCAGCAGAGTTCTGAATGAGCTGGATCTTTTGAATAGTGGAGCTGGGGAGACCGGCGTGGAGTGCGTTGGAGTAATCCAAGCGGGAGGTGACAAACGTGTACTCAAGGGTTTCAGCTGCATTTGGGATAAGGTACAGTCGGAGGTGGGCAATGTGGTGAAGGTAGAAGAAAGCCGTCGTGGTCAGGGACCAGATGTGGGGGAGGAAGGACAGTCGGGGGTCGAGCTAGATACCTCGGTTGCATGCTGGTTCGGTGAGTCTAAGGGAGATCCCAGGGAGGTTGAGGAGTTTAGATCCGCAGGATAAGTTGAGACGTCTCAAAGCGCTTCGCAAAATATACTGTAAAGTGGATTGACTGGACTGAGTGGCTACATTTTTTTGTGTCCTACAATTTAAAACTTGGGATGTTCTGCTGGCATGAAAGGTGCTGTACGTGAAAGGTGCTATAGAATTGTAATTTTGTTGTTGTTGCTATATCAGTGAAAATTGTATTGCAAGATAGCACAGAATTGTGGGAAATTCTTAAATTATTTTTTAATTTGGGAGAGGGTTGGGTTTGGCTTTGATGCTTGCCAAGTTTGAACAGTCCACCTGTCCACTCAGCAGAAAGATAAAGAATAGCCAATTAAGTGAGGCACTGAAAAGCAGTCAGTTGGCTACAGCATTGCACCCACCCACGGCTCAAGAATGGAGAGAAAAAACAAGAAACTTGAAACAGATGAGCATTCATGAAATTCAGAGTTATTCAGAATCTGCTGCAGCTTGTATCTTTAGGACCAGTGTTGCTATACTGGGTGAAATATCAATATTCTATCAGTCAATTAAAACACAAGATTTACTCGTCATTAAAACAATGGAACTGGTACAATTGCAAAAATGGATGACATTTAAAATGAGAGCCCTGACCAAAACTTACAAGAATGTTTTGCAGCATTTTCTGTTTGCTTGTGTCAAGGATTTATGTATTTATTAAAAAAACGCAGCCTTGCCATTTGTCTGTGCAGACCAAATTCACTGTAGCAAACTCTGCTGAGATATAAAAGTTAATGGAGGCATGCAGTGGAATTTTATCACCATGCTTAAAGATATAAAATGAGAATTGTCTCTTTTTCTTCAGAGGATACTAGAGATGAACAAGTAGCCTCCATCTAATCAGTGCCAGATCTGAACCATTAAAATTGTTATTGCCTCCTTGAAGCTTCTGTTTTGCCTTTGAGGGGAAAAACAAGTCATCCACATTTGAACTGGTCAAAAATTGTTTCTACCAAACAGCCCAAGTTCAATTTTTGACCAGGATTTATACTCATCCCTTGTGGCTACTTTTAAATTGTTCATGTTTCATACATTCAGATTTGTTTTTATTTTGTTCTATGTTCACTGCTGTTTGTACAGATTGTCTCGTGTAGTTAACATTATTGCTTTGGTTTTTTTAAAATACGTGATGAGATTCAAATGTACTTTGCACCTGCTGTTACTCATGCTAAAATATGAATTTGTGCTACTTACTATGAAACTGTACATTTTGTTTTATATTCTAATCGTGCTTTCAAAATGCAATGCTGTGGTTGTTTTGGAGCAATGATGCTGTCTCCTTTCACCTCTAATTGAGTTAATGATCAGCCGGGAGTCAAATGTGTTGGTGAATCAGTAATGGGGTAGGGGGCTCAGACTGTCATTGGTAGAATTAAGGGGGAGGTTAGAGTTTTTCTTGCAGAGGGGTATTAAAACATGGAATGCTTTACCACAGGTTACTGATGAAGCTTAAGGCTTAACAGGGAATTGTGATTCAGCTGCATGGCCCCAGTGGAAGATCTACCACCAGCAGGCTACCATTAGAGTCCAATTAGAAGTGGTTTGGAAGCCATTTCAACCAAATTCTTATTTGTCAGATAAAAGTCCACAACATTACACTGGGTGCATGTTGACACCATCACTCAGAGGAGCCACAAGAATGGCTGATGCACAAAATAGAATATGAGACTATTCCACTGGTGTTAAGGCAAAATGTTCGGACTAAGTGGCAGCAGCTTTACATTTCCTCTCAGTCACCATAAGTAGTCTGGTGGCCATTGGTGTCACAACAATACTGAACTTCCATTATTGATAGGCATGTCGCCCAACAGTATTGACCTCAACCACTGACCTCAACCAAATTTCCTTGTGGCTAAATGGAATCTTTTTGCCATAATGCATTCTGTTTGTTCACACCAGCTATTCCATTCCTTCTCATTAATTCAGTTTTGGTCACTCTATGTCCTGATACCCAACACCCTCACTTGTAGAGCATGATCCAAAGTGCCTACTTTCTGTTTGTATGATTTTGTCAGGGTTTAGATCTCAGTATCAAACAGAAGTAAATGACTATTAGCTTAATTGTTCATGTCTCTTGCCATGTCAATCTCCCCCAAGTGTTTCCATGCTGTGTCAAAAACACACCCGGCAAAAGCAACCTATCTTTATTTTTGTTCACTGGTGAAATAGTTTGGAATTTATAATCCTTATGATTTGCATCAATCTAAGGAAATAGAGGATGTATCAAATAGCACTCGGATTGGAGAAGTAGTGACTTACTTTCTTACATGTGTGTATAATGACATATTTAATGCCAATCTGGGGAAAGACAGGTAGAACATAACTTGAATGCCTCAGCTAAAGGACGGTACCTCTGCCAATACAGTGCTCTCCCGAGCCTGCTGGAGTGTCAGCCTAGACGATGAGCGCTGGTGTATATGTGGGGCTTAAATGCACAATGAGAGAGCTGCCAATTGAGCCAAACTTGACACCTTGATGTCCAAACATGTTCAAACTCTGACTATATAGTCTTGTTCAGATATAGCATTACTCTACTGGTGACGTTAATCTGGGAGGGAAGCTCTTTCTCTCAGTACCAGTGGGCCAGACATATAGAATATTAAGTACTGGATGACTATGTTAGAACTCGCCCAAGATCAAGGGAATCCGCTCCGCGGTCACTTCCCCTCCAACTTCCACCCACCACCCACCCCTTCCCTCCCACACTCCGACTCCTACCCATCCTCCCCTACACACCTTCGTACCCGTTTCCCCACCCTCTGTCACTGAACTCATCCTATCCCTAAAACCAACCACCTGCTCCCTTGACCCCATCCCCACTCCACTCCTTATCTCCCAGCTCCATTTTCTTGCCCCACACATCACTGACATCATAAACCTGTCCCTCTCCTCTGGCTCTGTCCCCATTCCATTAAAAACTGCCATCATCACGCCCACCCTGAAAAAACCCTCCCTTGATGCGTCGCAGCTATCAAGCTACCGGCCCATCTCCAACCTCCCCTTTCTCTCCAAGGTCTTGGAAAGAGTTGTCGCCTCCCAACTGCGCTCTTTCCTCTCCACCCATTCTCTTTTTGAACCCCTTCAGTCAGGTTTCCGTGCTGCTCATAGCACAGAAACTGCCCTGGTCAAGGTCACCAATGATATCCTGACTATCTGTGACCAGGGCTCCCTCTGTCTCCTCGTCCTCCTCGACCTATCGGCAGCATTCGATACGGTCGACCACGCTATCCTACTCCACCGCTTGTCCTCCCACCTCAACCTTCAAGGCACTGTCCTTGAATGGTTTAGCTCTTACCTTTCCCACCGTCTTCACTTCGTCTCAACGAATGGCTTCTCCTCCACCCCCCGTACTGTCTCATGTGGTGTCCCTCAGGGCTCTGTCCTCGGTCCCCTCCTCTTCACCCTCTATATGCTCCCCCTCGGTGACATCATCCGCAAACATGGGGTTAACTTCCACATGTATGCGGATGACACCCAACTCTACCTTTCCTCCTCTACTCTCAACTCCACGACCACCGATGTCCTGACAGCTGCCTGTCCGACATCGAGTCCTGGACGAGAGACAACTTTCTTCAGCTCAACGTGCGAAAAACCGAGGCCCTCCTGATTGGCTCACGTCAGCGCCTCCGCACCTCAGGCGCTGACACCATCAGCATCCAAGGCTGCACTCTCCACCTCTCAAAGCCAGTCAGGAACCTCGGCGTTTTGTTCGACCCTGAGCTGTCCTTTCTCCCTCACATCCGCACCACAACTGGCACCGCCTTCCATCACCTCCGGAATATCGCCAGATTACGGCACTACCTCACCCCTCACGCTGCTGAAACCCTGGTTCACGCCTTTGTCACCTCAAGGCTGGACTATGGGAACTCTCTCCTCGCCGGCCTTCCCGCCACCTCCCTCCACAAGCTGCAGGTCATTCAGAACTCTGCAGCTCGTGTACTGTCCCGCACCAGGCTTCGGGACCACATCACTCCCACCCTCGCTCGCCTCCACTGGCTCCCCATCCCCCAGAGGATTGATTTCAAGATCCTCATCCTCACCTACAAGGCCATTCACGGCCTTGCTCCCTCCTACCTCTCCAACCTACTATCCCCCTACCTACCTGCCCGTACCCTCCGTTCCTCTGGCTCCGGTCTGCTCCACGTCCCCCGCCCCAACCGCCCTACTATCGGTG